GCCATGGGACCCAGCAAAGATGCTAAAGAAGGTGGGATCAAAATTAAACTTTTCATCATACATGCAAAATGCTTTATTTGGAGGATAACTAGGAATGCACATTACACATAACACATGATCCCCATGTTGATACATGGTAGTCAGCATCATGCAGTGGGGACGATTTTCTTTAACAGGCAGAGGGATGCTGGTCAGAGTTGATGGGATGGTGGATGGAGCTACAGGTCAATCCTGAAAGAAAACATTTTAGAAGCTGCAAAAGACTTGAAACAGTCTAGATGTGCAAAGCTGGTAGACGAATCCCAAAAGACTGGCTGTTGCAACTACAGTGCAAGGTGGTTCTGCAAAGTACGGACTCAGAAAGGTTAAATACAAATGCTGAATTCAGATTTTTCAGATTTTAATATTTAGAAAAATATTAAACAGCATGTATAATTTATTTCCACGTCACAATCACGCACTTTGTCTAGATTTGTCACATTAAATATCTCTAATACACATATAAGTTTGTTGTGAGAAATGAGAAAACAATTCTACAGGTATCGTGAACATTTACGGGGTACAGGATTTCGAAAGAAACATCACAAGACACCCCGCCATTCTGGAGTCTGCATGGACTACGGGAATGTTCAGAGAGCAATTGATTGGATCAGAGCACCACTGTGGATGACCTCAGGATTCCCAAAGGGCACAACCCAATCACAGTAGGCGCTGACTCTGACAGATTAATGCCCCACCTTAACGCAAAAAGTCAAGTCATATTAGTCACAGCAAATGTATGCCTCCTTCATAAGGGCCCCACCTTTATAGTTTCTGATGTAAACTGTCCTTTGTTATATCAGGGTATCAGAGCTAAACACTGTAACATGAGGCTCAGCTGTTTTGCCTCTATAGCAGCTGTAATGAAACATGATAAGCCCATAACAAGCCGGAAACCACTTCTGTTGTTGGCATGATTGACACAGACACACAACAAACAATTCTTATGTTTCATCAGGTATGTCTGCCTCAAGGTACTTCAGTTCAGAAAACTTTTAAAACCTTTCAAACAGCAATATATGAGAAGAAAATTACATTCAGTCTACAAGTAGCTGCTGCCATGCAGAGAACTTATCAATCTCCAGTCATGTTCCTGTCATGGGTTTACCCAAGCATCGCAGCCACATTATCTCATCTGCCCGTCAATGCCACCAACATCACAGAGTTCAAGTACTGCTGACTTCATTCTGTCTGATGGCTTGCTGACTAAGAACCTTAATTACAATGTCTGCTAGTTTGGTTACTACTCAATAGTCTCTCAATTGTGGGAAGGAGTGTCACAACAAAACTAGCCAGTTGCAGTCTCATGCAAAAAGTTTGAACTATACCTATATTTATCTTTTGTTTTCTTCTTTTTCCTCCAAGGAGCCTGAGTTTCTTGTTACCTTTTAGTATGTTTTTGATCATCAGTTGTATAGATCGATATTAAGCTATGTACAGTTATATTAATGTTCATAAATCAATGTCTCATAACTCTTAGAAAATAAGAAAATGAAAAAAGACAAACATTGCTAATTAATCTCTTTAACTCTAACTTAATCGGGAAATAAAAACTTAAAAATTAACGTTCAAATTCACTAGCTGGTTATAATACTGAAAAGTAGAGTTTGTCAGGCTCTCAGAAGCTTAAAGAAAAGTGTGTTATGGCCTAGTCAGCAACCTTTACAGTGCAAGGAGCCATTTCTGCACTCCTTCCCACAGAATAAAATGTGTCTTAAGCTGCAAGAACAACATGACTTCTTAAAAAATATAGATTATTAAGTATTATACACCCCTACTATATAAAATCAGCTTATTTTCTGGCAGGATTTAGGAAACTAGAATTTCATTTCTTTTTATCTTTTATGAACAAAAACATAAAACCTTCAAAATGAGAAAATAGTAGAATTTTCCATATTTATATAAAGTGACGAAATAAAATCAAACAAAGCACACTGATTGCAGCTTAATAGCAAAAGACTAAAAAAAAAAAAACACTCAACCTAACAAAAATATTCTTTGTATTTTTAGTGTCATTCCTTACAGATATTTCATTAAACCACTATGGAGGGCCTAAAGAACTACATGTAACTCCAACGTTGCAGGTCACAGACTCTTATCTGGTTTATGTTCTAAAAACTAGCAATAAGATCCATGAAAAGGGAAAGGGGAAATTAATCCAAAGTATCTAAACCATCTAGAACTTTTGCCAACACCAGAACTGGGATCTCTATGGACATGCTATTTGCACACTCCCATCTTTTTCCATAGAAGATGGACATCTTGGTTATTTCACCAGTCTGAATCACAGAACCCGGCTGGCTATAACATCAACATTGGATAAAAACAACTGAGATTATTGTCTGTATTGTGATAGCGATATCAGTTAGCCCACATAACTAACTTGCTTCTCCTTGCTTTCCAACATTATAATGTTCCTACTATTGTCTGTGAGCTATAGCTCCCTGGTCACTAAAATCCATACTACAAATCTACATTCTATATTACATATAAATTACTTGTCACTTGTTACAATCAGTAGAACTACACATTTTTCAGGTTTTTACTGGGTTTTTATTTTTGGTGTACATAGTTTTTTTTTGTGTAATAATGACTCTTCTTTTGTCCTCCACTTGTTCACTTTCCTCACTTTGTAAGCACACACTATTGTACTATGCCATCAGGTTACTAATAAAAAGGCAGCCAAAATCTAAAGAAAAACTATGAAAGACTTTCAGAAAGGCTCTAGAATTGCTAATTGCGACACCTTTCTGAGATTATAAGAAAGTCTGTTTACTTAGAAAGAGAATATGAAGCAGCAAGGGATTCACATTAAAGTAAGACATAAATAAATGGAGTATGTATGTACCCAGTCTTCCTGCTCGTGACAACCAAACCTCTTGCCCACCACATTGGCTCAGTCAGTGAATTGAATATTTCTGATAGAATCAATTTACCAACCACATGAGACTTTGTGGTGGATGTGTTAAACTACAAGCTGTGGACCTACCAGCCCATTTGTCTTCATTTGCAAGGGATGTGCCTCACTTGATCCATAAGCACAGATGAGATGAAAGGGATATATTTTTGGCTGGGTGCTAATGAGTGTCTTACCCCTAAGGGTTTATGAGTTGCATTGTGCAAACAGACACACACACAGACTCATGCAGTTAGACCGCATGTGTGCCGTGCTGATCCCGCCTGCTCCACCTCACTTCTCAGAAGCCACAAGCAACATGTCTTGACTGAAGGAAGGAGCAGCAGGCACAGAGACCTCCGGAGAGGCTGAGTGCTGAGGAAATCTGCTGCAGGGGGAAGAGATGAGCAGCACAGAGGCAGCAAACGGGAGGACTCGGGATGTGCACGCCCAGACTTGTTTGGATGGGGCCTCCATTGCCCTTGGGGGGGTTACTGCTCAGCTGGGGTTTTTCTCAGTCTCAACAACTGGGCTGGTGTGAAAGAATGATGGAAAACTGCAGAACCACCAACAAGGAGGTCTACATGCAAAGGAAACAAATGGATTCCAGCACACAGCTTGCTGAAGAGCTAAATATCATGCTATGTCATGCTATATCACAAAATGTCAACAAAAAACATGGACAGACACCCTTTCAAGCCATTTGCTCCAATATAAAAGGAGCTGTTCAGGATTCTGAATCTCTAATGTATTCAATTCAATTAAAAAATACTTTATTCATCCCAAAGGGAAATTAGATGTTGTTATAGCTCTTATTATGCAGGTTTCTTCAAAGAGCCGCTATAGATGCTGATGGCTGTGGGCAGGAAGGATCTTCTGTAGCAGTTCTGAAGAAGCCTCTGACTGAAGACACTCTATTGTTGGACAACAGTCTCATAAAGATGCTCAGGCTTCTCCATAATATTCTTCGTTTTATGAAGAATCCTTCTTTGTACAATGATCTCCAGAGGTTCCAGAGGAGTCCCCAGAACAGAGCTAGCCTTCTTTATTAGCTCGTTGAGCTTTTTTAAGTCCCTGGCTCTGATGCTGCTACCCCAGCAGATGATGGCAGAAGAGATCACACTCTCCACAACAGACTTATAGAAGATATGCAGCATCATGCTGCAAACAACGCAGGTCCTGAGCTTCCTCAAGAAGTACAGTCTGCTCTGTCCCTTCTTATCGACGGTTTCACAGTTGCATCTCCACTCCAGTCTGTTGTCCAGGTGAACACCAAGATATTTATGTTCCTCCAACACCTCCACTTCTTCTCCCATGATAGAAATAGTGTCTGACCTATTCCTGTTTCTCTTAAAATCTGCTATCATCTCCTTTATTTTATTCAGGTTCAAGATGAGATGATTATTTTCATTTCATTTATGAGCAGACACAATATGAATCAAAGTGATTTGGTACAGTTATATGTAACTATGCATGTTTTATGAAATATGCATTACAAGAGTTAGTGTTCACTTGTTTTTTCTGTTTTCTTTGATAAGGAGCTGTCTAGAGGGGTAATCGCCAATTTATAGCTTTGAAGTGTTGGTTGCTTCTTTTTCAGGAACAAAAAGGAACCAACTGGCACAAGACATTTGGTACTGACCATGTGTAAATGCATACCTGTATTGACAACCAACAATTTAAGTGAATTTTTCTATAACCTACTCTAAGTATTTTAATTAATCTAATTTGTGGAAATCTGGTTATATGACTCCAACAAATAGCATTTACTGACAGGAAATTACTTAGAGTTCTGTTGCTTTGATCAAGGGTTACAGTCATGTTTCATAAAAATATCAACTTGCCCACTTAGAAACCAGAACCAAAACAAATGGAAAAATAGGCTTTGATTCAAAGTCTACTGAAAAAGAAAATAACTTCTGTATGTTATTTTAGCATTTCATGACTTTATCTTTCCAATATTTATCTAAAAAAAAAGTTAACTACTAAGAAAAAGACAGATACACAATAGGTATCAAATACAAGCAGGAAATGGATGAAATGCCAATGCACGGGTACATAATTAGTTGCTGTGGCTGAGTTGTTAAGGCGATGGACTAGAAATCCATTGGGGTATCCCTGCACAGGTTCAAATCCTGTCAGCAACGGGAGCTCTTGGAAGATGTATTTCATAGTGTTTACAGTCACCAATTCAGCTAAATGTTAACTTCGATTGTCAAATGGTAT